GTAAAAAAAACTTCCCAAACTAATTCATGAGTGAGAAATAAATATTCGTGGTTTACATCATAAGCGGTAAATTCAAAATACAAAATCATGATCAACGTATGTCAAATTAGGGATTGACATTAACATTTAAGCTGGGAGAATAACTAAAGCTTGATTTTACATAAATTTCCTTCCCAATGGCGATTCTTGAAAGTTGGCAACACTGTTTTTCTCCATTTAAATAAATTGGAACAATCATTTCCTAAAATCGATGTTCTCTACAGATTTACATGGAGGGAAAACAGTGTTGTCAGGTTTCAAGAATCGCCACTGTCTCTTCCGCTTCTGATATAGGATACCTTAAATCATGTATAAAAAAGTTATTAACACTTTTGTGTGCCTCTCAATTTGACTCAATTAGACACTGGTTATTCTGAGAGAGGGAAGTATAAATTAACGCAGATGAGCACAGTTATTTTCTCACTTACATGAATTCAATTCGGCAAACTATAATGCATCTCTCCAATTCTACACAGAATTTTTTTGCGGAAATAGATTTTTTTGTGCTCAATTTACAATCCCTGCTCAAATATCACTGCTCACCACATCAGGTTCATCATAAATTAGCTATGATAAATGGAAAAATTATTCTTTCACGTTGGAAAAACTCTTGTCGTCTTATTTGCCTTCGGTTTGAATGCTGCAGGATAAATGGACTTTGATCAGAGAAATATTTGAGTGATTGAATTCCATAACGCACAGAGAATAAATATTTTTACAGTTGGATGCTTACTCAAGGGTTACCTGTCGACAAAGAGAGGTGACATGACGAAAAAAAAAAACAAACAATTAAATCGTCTGTGCAACAGAGCCACCTGATGTAAAAACAAAAGAACCAGAGTGAAACTGTGCTTTGATAATTGAAAACAATTACTAAAGCACGATTTTGTAAAATGTAAGGATGAAACATATTTAAGATTATTGGACATAGTTTTTACCTATTTACAAAAAAAGGGGGAAAAAGCACTTTCATGCGACACCGATTCTCGAGTTTCTTGTATTGCAAATTCGCAAGTTAAAATTTGTTTACCCCTTCCCACAAAAATATTTTTTAATGATTTTTTCAGAATTTCATTCTTGAGTTAGAAAAAAGAGAGAAAATGATTGATTTTATCATAGAAAGGTGAGAGGAAGCTTGGGAAGAGAATTTTCTTTCACATGATCTAAACAATTTTTTTAGCGTTCCGTAAGTTTTCAATGACCAATAATATAAAAAAAAACATTTTTGTAGCAAATTTTGCAATTTCAAGCCTTGTATTGTTCCTCCTCAATTTATTTAGAACTAAGTAAACTCAATATGCGCTGCATTGAAAAGACTTTACACTCACATTGCATTGATCTCGGAGAATACTAATTTATGTACGTTCCCAAAATTTTTACAAAAATATTCGTTAAGTCTTATGAAATACAATCTGTCAATTTTTTTACTGCAAAAATGACAACAATTTTTTTTAAAACTGTTTCTATAGATACTTTAACTTAAAGTAGCTTGAGTTTCTGTTCATTAATTTCCCACATAGAAGTAAAATGGTCAGTGACATGAAAGCGCATGGAAAAGGGTTTGAAATTCAAAATTAAGTAATTCAAAGATTCTAAAAACCATACAAAAAAAATCAAGAATAGATCAACGGGAAATATATTCAAATAACATGACATATACAAATATTTACAACCTTAAGCAATATTCACATGATTGATGGAATAATGTTTATGCAAACACATATTTTATTCCATAAAGAGTAGACTAAATGAATTTGAATAATTATATACTACATGTCTTCCAAATTTGTCTGCTAGGGATGATCATATTTTAAATATTACAGTTAAAAAATAATTCTCTATTTTACAAGGTTTAGTTTTTAAAAAAAGAGGCTTTAAAATGACGTGACGTTCAAGTACACCGCGAAATCTTTTAATGATATTCAACCCTACTGGTTTACTTTTTCCATCTAGAGTTAGTCCAAAATTTCATATCCTAGCAACAATGAGAAATTCAACAGGTGTTAAAGCAACCTGTTGAAGCAGCATGATTTTGACCCCTCCTAAACTTCCAAATGTAAAGTCACTGCAGTTTAAAACTTTCCAATTTTTAACTTTCTCATGGGAAACACTGCAATGTTTCAGTTTAGCAAAAAAAGGACCTTCCCAAATAACCAACATTCTCTACTTTATGCCTGTCATGCTACATTAAAATTATGATCTAGTGCTTAAAATTATAAAAATTTAACTAAATAAACATAAAACAATTCTTATCTAAGAATGAGCAGGTTTTATTTTATCCATACAATTTTCCATATTTTAAACTTTTCTCGGTCAAAATGTTTGGCAAGCACACAAAACAGTCACTTCTACATGATAGTGTTTCAAAATCTCATCTCCTATTTCAATATTTATGAAGGAAACAGACAAACATTTTTGCCAACTTTTCTTTGGAAATATCCACCACATGAGCAAGAAAAATTGCAACAATTTGCAAGAAGGTATGTTGGTTGAGTTCCTTTCAAAAAATTAAAGAAGGCCATTAGATTTCGAAACACTGCGATGTAGATGTGACGGTTCTGCTTACTCAATCCGATGGCTTGTTGTGATTTTGATCCATACAGAAAAATGTCCTACGCATTACTCGCTGCATTTGCATCTAAACAAAACTGCTAATATTCAATAACACACTTTTCACTATGTTGTTGGTTCTCCCTTGTACAGAGTTCCTGTTAGACTGAGAAGATAAGTGTTGTGTATTAGCACTTAAGATTGAAGAGAAATACTTCTCTTTGATTGGACTAATTTGATTGATTCAAAAAGGATCAGTCAGACTGCATTTCATTTTACATAATGTCTTCCATTGTCTACCTAAAAACTGAGTAACGGAATGCCTTGAAACTTTCAGTGAATTTTCCCTGGTGATAAAAAAATATAATCACATAATTTCATAAGCAAACATAGCTTCGTTTTTTTTTACATAAAAAAATCAAACACAAAGATGAAACAGGCTGATTTTGGTTTAAGCTTATTTGCTCATACATGGCATGGCTGCTAAAGAATCAAATCAATTATCAAGAGGACTATATTTATAAGAGTATAAATTATTAATCTCTGAGGTCAATGAGGGTGCAAGTTTAAATAAATTTGCCTCTTAGCTTTCTCTAAAAGTATGAGAGTAGCTAACAAAATTAAAGGAGCATTGAGATAAACATAATTACTCTCGGCTTTTGAACGAACCACAATTTTTTTTTCAAATTTGGAATACGGTTTCAGGATAAAATCATAAACTGCCCACACACAATCTTAAAACGGGTCTTCTACTTGAAGTGTGAGTTGAATTTTAACACTTCAAAAAACTTAAAAGTTTCTTGTATTGATGCTGGCTTGGTTTTCGAAATAACAATGGTCTTCTTCAATAAAAATAGATAGCTAGACTTATTGAGGAATCCAAACTCGCACAAGCAGGCAAAACTGATTTTATTTTTAAAGTTACATCTCACGAAAGAGAAATGGGGGATACCCAATGAATTAAAGTGATTTTCATTAATTAAGAGACTACATCAGTATTACAGAGAATGTAAAGGAATTTGCTGAACATGAGATTTCAGTAACAAATAAATACAATTTTCAAAAATCAAGTATTCCCCATTAATTCGAAAATAAAAAAATTCTCTCTTCAAAGCATATGAAAAGAAAAAATGGATGGATTTAAAATTCATTTTTTCATTTTTATGGACTTTTTAAAAGCAAAAAAATAATACAGCAATCATTCAAAAGAAAATACATACTTAATTTACGGTTTGAAATTTTCATTCTTTTTTTCCTTTAAAATGAATTGAAACAAAAAATAAGACGGTTTAAAATTTACGGACAACAATAAATAAAATTTGTCAAAATGATTTGAAGTTCACACTCAGCTGAACCTTGATAGTTGGTGATAATCTAATTATAATGGCAATGTCAACGATAAAAAAAAATATGAACAAGTCAAAGAATTGACAAAATGCAAAAAAAAACTGTATAAAATGGTTTTTTTTTATTCCACCAATCATTACTAAAATGAGCAAAATCAACACAAGATGCAGGAACTGCTGCTTTATTTAAGGAAGAATTAAAGGTATGCTTGCTGAAACCAACATATCTTCATAAAGGCGAAAAATGAGAGGAAATAAACATGAAAGAGTGCTAATAACTGAACTTTTGTGCTTTTCAACACTGCAGTATGGAGGTGAAAAAGATTAGGTAGGTACTCACGTCATATTTCAAATGATGAGGCAGTACTCTCTGTCTGAATGTTTAAAATTAACGCATTTGTGCATTGAAACAATACAAATTCGTTGTTTACCACACAAAGAAACATATCTTAATAGGGCTGTTTTGGTATTTTTTACTGAATTCGATTTTTTTTAAGGAGAGCCATTGCATGAATTTGCTTGAAATTTTCAGTGAGTTTTCCTGGCTCTTGTAAAAATAGAAACAATGAAGTTGACAAAAAAGTTCCTGTAATGGTTCTCCCATGAAGGAAAAATGTCTGTAGAAATACTGAAACAGCATAGATGAGATACATTCCTTCGTTTATGAGACAACGATAATATATAGACTCAATAATGGACGGAAAGATGACAGATTTTGTAGAGGAGCAGCTCCAATCATATTAATTTCCTTTAAATTTGACTAATTAAATGCAGACCTTTTATCAGCAAGCCAGGGTCTTTCAAATTTTGCAGAATCCTTAAATGAGTTATCACATTGCCTTTAAAAAAAAGATTCTTATCGTTTTTCACCCATAAAAAAACCCATAAAACATAGGTAGGTGCACTGCCTGGGGCTTGTTTCTGTTTTTGAGTAGCATATTTACTGATTATGATAGATGATAGGAGAAAACTAGCCAAAAGATTACCTCAATTAAAGAAAAATATGAAAAGCTGATGGTAACTACCGATAAATTCATACGTCCACACACTAATTTGAGCGTAGTATTCCGGTCATTAAAAGCCAATATTTAATACGATAAGTCAATGAGACAGATAAGGCTCTCAATAAAAATAAATCTAATGGTAACAGAATATGCAAAATACAACAACTGCCAGATTTAAAAGAATCTTACCGACATTTACGGACATCATAAAATTCGAGAAATCATCGCAAGAACTATAAAAGCTTTGCTTAAAATGCTGGAAAAAGGTTTTTAATACGATGCTACACCACACCTATTAACGATATCCACACCCTTCAAAAAATGAGACATGAAAGAGATGAATATAAAGAGTTAAAGAATTGAGATTGCATTTTACCAGAGAGCATGGTAAAAGTTAGGACTTCCATGACTCAGGCATGGCACCATTAGGTACGACTGGATTAATTATCATAAGAATCTTACGGAGAATATGACCGACAAAATTCATAAAACCCTTGACCTACAATCCATAAACATCCTTGTAAAAAGACTCATTATTTTTAAAGATCTTATATAAACTGATGGCTGATCTTAGTGAAAGACACTGGTGGGATTCATGGTGCCATGAAAGAAATAAGTCTCTTATGAAGAGAACGGAGAGTGAACTAAAAAATCAGGTTTACTCATAACCAGCATTTTTTAGCGATGTACAGAATTTTGTGATTGTAATACTAAGGAAAAACGCCGTGTGAGCCTTAGGAAGTAGTCAAATTTCCTGTGACAAAAAATAAATTTACTGGGAAAATTCTGACTATTTTTCTTCCAGTTCCTCAGAAAATGTCCTTTGCAATTTAATCTAAAATATCTGAGAACTTCAAGGAAATATGTGCAAGACTTTCCTCGAAAATAAATAATTTGTTGGGGAAATTTATCAATATGTGAGTGCTCTTAAAACGTTTTTCCTTAGAACAGCAGAATGGGTTTTAGCAACCTATCCGAGTCTACAATCAAAACAATTTTTGAGAGAAAATTCACACGAACTTGGAAATTCCTCGGAGTTACTCTCCTTACAAACTTCAGAAACAATGAGCATGCCTAATTTTTAATTCACTCCAAAGCTGGTTTCTAATCACTGATTTAAATTGAAAATTATTCAACAACGTAGGCTGTCTTTATTTGACGATGTAAATATACACATTTTAACAGAATTGAAATGATCATACCTCTTTGCACTTTTCAGGTGTTTTGTCTTAGCAAAAACTTAATACAATTGATGCTATCTGCTTGAATTTTAAAATCGATCCTGCTGTTCAGCTAATTCGAGAGATTGAGTCGACAAATGAGTAGTGAACAGCGTAAGTAATAGAGACTAATATTGATTCAGAATCAGCACAAAGAACTGGCTTTGGAGGAATAAAAATTAAGGTAAACACTAGAACAAAGGCTTATAAAAATAACTCTTTCAGCGAATGAAAAACAAAATGAAAACGGAATAACAGACACAATGAGGAGTCGAATGTAAAAAATTTACAAAATACGTTGAGACAATAAAAAAATTAGCGACTATTCTTTGGCTAGGAGACATTGAGAATGGAAGAAGGATAGAAAAATAATAAATGACTAGGTTTCAAAATCAGTCCATCATGGTTGTTGAGTAGAATTTTCCTTTTATACATATTCGTTCGTTCCTGGACTTGTCAGAGGTTCCTGAGCCTGAAAAAAATGACAAAAAGAACATGTCACATCAGCTGAATGATACAAATGATTTATAATGATATCTAATTAAATTGTGTCCCATCATAATGAATAAGTATATTGCAAGTTAAAAGACAAAATATTCAAACTTTTCTCACTGGAAAAAGAAAACATGCAATTTTTTTAAAATTAGAATTATTGGAATTTACAAATTCTCGCACAGAATGGAACTTTGCAAAATTACTGCGACAAAAAATGCAATGTAGAAAACTTAGAAGTTGCCTAAAATTAATGACCTTTTATTAATGCCTAATGGAAAGAAGTGACAAGTATGAAAGGGATTGATTTGCAAGATTGAAGTTTACAAGAAAAATTTTTAGCGCAACACCTAAAAAAGGAGATAAAAAAAATTTCAAAACTCTAGGGGATTTTTCTTGCTTTGAGCCTACAGATTAAGAAACATTTTTTGGTGTTTGAAATATTATGAACAGTTTGTTAAAGAAGACTCTCAATTATTTTAAATTCGAGGTGATGAGGGCTTTTTGGAACTATTGAGGTTTTAAGGCAAAGGAAGTTGGAATTGTGAGCGTATTAGTAGAAGTAAAGAGAGTTTTTCAAGGGGTTCGGCCTTTGCTCTCAATTGAGAATGTTCGAATTAATGAGAGCTACTGCTACTTAAAACCACAGCAACATTTTTGAACCAAAAACTTTTGCTGAATCTTGCCTCAGGTAATATCATTACGATACTAATCAATTAGCACTAATTTCTTACAGTCCTATAAACTCACTTCAGAGGCTAAATTATCAGTGCCGCAATCAAGCATAAAAAATAATGAGCCTTCATTTTTTTCTTTGCAAATGTTTGGCTAGGATCAAAATAATCATGCAGAATAAATATTAATAATTTACGCAATTACTTCTTCTGCCAGAGACGGATACACTCTAGCTGGTGGATACTGATTCTTCTCTAGAGAAAAGTGATCTTCCGTTGTCTTCCTGTAGACTGGATTATCAAAGTTCATACTAGTCATATTCCTCCTTATGTACTGCCGATAAAGAATGAAAGCAGCCTGAAAAAATCCACACGAGTTGACGTTAGTTTCGATATTTTTAATTCATCACTCCACTGGAAATTGAACCATAATGAACACTTTTTAACAGTCAATACAGCAAATTTTATTATTGATTTCAACTTACAAACTTAGATAAATAGATAGATGGATAGATTTAACACGTGGGGGACAAAGTTCAAAATACGTAAACTCTAAAAAGTCTTTGTTTGAAGAGTTTATTATTGTGACCAACTTAGTTAACTTGGTTTATACCTGCAGCTATGTTCTTTTTATTTTTATTTCTCTTTCATATATATATATATATATATATATATATATATATATAGCGTTCTATGACACCCAAACGCCACATATGCCTGTTATTTCTCTTTCAACCTCTCTAATATTTGCATTCTTTTTACCAACATATTTTTTGGCATTTCTTCTTTTCATAGATGCCTCTGTACTGCCTATTTGGCAAAATTTGATAAAATAAGCATATTTTCAATGAAAGGCAATCTCAAAAGAGATTTTGAGGATACTTACAACTCCGGCAAAGAGCACCATTAGCAGTGATATAATCATAACAGAAATCGCAAACATTCCTCCATCTGATTCTCGTTGAGCTATTTCCACATGATTTCTGGTCTCTGTGTGATTATCCACTGAAAAGGAGAAAATGTTGAACATTTTTTTTAAAAAATAAATTGAACTAAACTTTAAATGAAAAAAAAAAACAAAAAACAAAGAATGGAATAAAAAAAGTAAACGGTGGTTTTTTGGCTAATTTAAATCAGGCACAGTTATTTGCCGGAGTAAATCAATAGTTCAACCTTAAAAAAGAAAATTATCGAGAGATTTAGGCGACCAACCTCAGCGTTGCCTTCAACAGTATTTATAAAGTGGTGCTCTTGAACACGAAAGTTTCAATATTTCGCATATTCTGCTCGAAAAAACCTTATTTTTATTCTTTTAAAATGTTGTTTGAAGGAAATTTCCTTCACTAGATTTATGGATGATACAATTTGTCCTTTCCTGCGCAGAATAACATACTTTGAATGCACTTTTTCAGTATTTCTAGGCATTTTTTTCTTTTTAGTCTTTTAGTTTTTGAAAGGAGAACTGTTGCATGCGTAATTTTAGCCAAAAATTTCAAATGATTTTTCTTTACGCTTGTAAAAAAAGAATTTCTATATGAATTTCTCCCATGAAAAACTAAATTTTTGAAGAAATACTATGAGAGCTTGAATGAGATAAATTTCTTCGAAAACGACGCTTTTTCTGAAATGGATGGAGAAAGCAATATTAAAGTTCTTACTTTTTTCAGCACACATGAGCCCGTCACTCATTAATGTAAGTTGATCTGGACATGCACAAGATATTTTTGATGACTGAGCATTGATCTGAGGGGCAGGAAGGCATAAATGTGAGCAGTGACCATTTACTGGGGCACAATGATTGACTCCATCAGGTTGTCTGTACGGATGATAAACATGGACCACCATTGGCTTGTGGAGCTGGAATCACAAAAATCCAAAGGTAATTCGATAAGTACAAAACTAACTTGCTAGCAGCAAAACTAATTTAAAAAAAAGTATACAACGAATATTTACAGAGTACCTACTATATAAAGCCATAAATGTATAACCAGCGGATGTCGAGTTTTTACATTTTTAGAAAATTGCGTTCTAAGTTTTCATAGATGTGCATTCCAATATCAGTAAGGCAAATAGGGCTTGATCAAGCAATTTATTACACAGCAAATCTTCCTTTAAAAATGAGCGTTAGAACTTTAAATTTGAAGCAGATGTCAATTCAGGTACTTACGGTGATTTTAGAAAAAGACCATATCCATTGTTTTTACAGAGAACTATATTAAAGCATACAATAAACTACTATGCTAAGGCAAAAAAGATAAAAAAATTGAAATGAATCAAAATATGATTACTGTTGAGTTTGAATTTCGTTTTGAATAGTACCTCCCAAAAATTTCCTGCAAAAATTATGTCATGGTTTTGCCCTGTAAAACTACAATAAACAGAAATACATTGTAATTGATTCATAAGTTCCCTGGTTTCAAAACTTTAAAACTGAAAAAAAATGCCCTTCATATGATTACAATTCCTAAGACATATTCACCATGTGTTCTGCAGCAACAGATGTGATGTTACTTCCAGTAAATTTGTTGGCCTTGTAAATAGCAGCCTTGTCCCAGTCGGTCCAGAACAGCCAATCTTCGAAAGTCGTTATTGCGAATGGATGTTTGAGCACATCTGGCGAGTAGAGAATAAGACGACGTCCAGATCCATTGTAGTTACAAGAGGAGATGGTGTTCAACTTGGCGTCAACCCAGTATATTTTTTTGTCTAGTAAGTCAAGAGTTAATCCATTTGCCCACTGGACCTCATACACGATGACTTGTCGTTGGGAACCATCCATTCCTCCCCGTTCAATTTTCGGCTTATTGCCCCAGTCGGTCCAAAACATCCAACTGAAAAAAACAGAAAATTACATAGTATATTGAGTGAAAAATTTTGGCGCCAAGTCTAATTTTGAATTCGTATGACATGAAAACTTGTAATGTTCAAATACTCTACTTATTAAGATTAGAATTTTGATTTGAGATTGAATATTATGATGGTTAAACATTTAAAACATTAAAAAAAATCTCTCACAGGACAACAAAAGAACCTCGTAACAGGTCATTAGAAAAGTTATGACTTCGAAATCTCCTCCTGAGCAAGGCATTTTATGATTTAAATGAATTCCTGAATTCAGCTGTTGAGTAACATTCTACTAACCACCACCTAACAGTTGTAACAGTTGTAATTTATATTCTTAATTATTGTATACTCTAATTCCTAGTGTTTTTTGACCTGTGCCATAGCTCTAATAATAGGGCTCTCATGTACGTAATTCATAATAAATAAATAAATAAATGAATTAAAGCACCCATATTAAAAATTGTATAATAATTATAAAATAAATGATTCTGGAGGTGTCAATAAGTTTTGCATTTAAAACTTGATTTCCCCATTGATCCAACTGCAGAAATGGCTTTGAGAGTTTGTCCTTTTATAAAAGAAAAGTGCCCCCTTTAACACAATCGCAGCTTTTTTCACATCCGAAAGAAGTAATATACTTATGTGTTTGCAATGTTAGGCTATACATTTACTTTATTTACCTATTTATTCTACTGAAAGGGATAGGACAAAAGCCTTTTCAAATTATTCTCTAATTTTCTGAGCTCTAAAGGACATTATTACTTCATAGACAAAAAATTTCTCTCACTTGTTTTATGATTTGAAGTGGGAAGATAGGATTTTCAGTTCTGGTCATGAAGTGAAAATTAATATTTAAACAAAAGTTCAGTCTCTATAAGGCAAGAGGGGAAAAAATTGAGGGGCTTGGAGGACAAGGCACATAAGTGCCATTTTCGAAAAAATTGAAATCTCAATTATTTTCAGTAAAACTAGTCTTCATGCATATTCTGTGAAAAATTCGCTCCCAAATTCCAATTTTTAAGCATCAAAAAGTCAGTTTGAACTTTCTTTCTGCCATAAGGATCCATGCAGTTTCCAAACTTCAATTTCTCGAAACAGCAAAAACCGCGCTTATACACCTTGTCCTCTAAGCCCCTTAATTCATATTTTTTTATTGTTCAATAAGGAGCGGATTCCATCTGCAAGGATAAAAAAGCTAAGTATGAGTAGAATATCTGTTAAAATAAAATTCAAGTTGAATTTTCTTTAAAGTTTTTACAGAAGTATTATGCATTACCCATCAATGGGATTCAAAGCAATAGCTCTTGGCTCTCCGAGGTCATGTTTGAAAAGAGTCTTCCTCATATTTCCTTCAAAATTAGACAACTCAATTGTGTTCCTCTGACTGTCCGTCCAATAAATGTGGTTGTAGATCCAGTCAACAGCGAGTCCATCAGATGTTGTCCTTTCATCTTGAATGACAATGCTTTTCTCTGAGCCTTCGTCGATAGGTGCTCTGCAAAAAAATCAATGATAAGGTATTAAAATTGTTAAAATTTATCAGGGTGTCTACTAAAATTTTATTTTGGATTTTCCGAATATTTTCCTTGATGTATTAAATGAGTGGTTTGGAGGACAATGCGCATCAGTGCAGTTTTCAAAAAAATTGAAATATTCATGAACTCAACTAAAACTAGTTTGAAAGTATATTCTGAGAAAAATCCAACTGTAAAGCATCAAAAAGTGAGTTCAAACTTCCTTGCTGCCATAAGGCTGCATGAAATTTTGAAACTCTGGCACGCATTTCTTGAAATTGCAAAAACTGCCTTCTTGCGCCTTGTCCTCCAAGCCCCTCAAATGTATTTTCCAGATTTTTTGCATGAATAAATTGACACTCATTTGGTTTTACAAACCAACATACTAAGTGAATTGAATGAAATGTTTCACTTTTACACATGCTGAACTGCATATTGATTTTAGTTAAAAATGTTTGACATGCTTTGAATTTCCTGATCCATGACTAAATTTCCTAATATTTTCTTGATTTTCTCTGATGACACCAAAATAGATACCTGACATTTCCGGTTTTCACTGATGGTAGACACCCTGTTTATTATTCCCCTCTAAACATAAAGTAGAAACTTAAATTTTGCACTACAAGAAACAATTTCCCAGCTGGCAACTGCCAAAAATAACGGCAGAAAAACTTTACAAAAGTGTTGCTGCAACATTAATTTTGGCAGTAATGTTGTGACCACGTTTTTGCGACTACTTTTTGCCTGGCAAGTTTGTAGGTCTCCCATGAGGTTTGGATGGCTAGCAGAATTTGCTTTTCTTTAATTCTCTTCACATACAATTTTCCTCGCACACTAATACTCCACCCATAGTTCCACTTCTATCCAAACAAACAGCACGTAATCTCAAAGACTTTGCATCAAATAAAGAGGCAACAAATTTATGATCCTTACTTGTAGATGGTATTGGTTGACTGGTCACTCCAAAATATCATCCCAGTTCGAAAGACGTAGTCCAAAGCGGTGGCTAACTTTGTATTATTGACTATGACGGTCATTTCATGGTGATCCATTGATATTTTACGGATATCATGTCTCCTCGCAAACAAGAGTGATGCGTGTCCTTCAGCAGCTTTACACCGTGTGTGATCGTGAGGGTCTCGCAAGTAACCAGGGTGACACTCGCATTTGTATGTGCCTTTTTCATTGATACAAATTTGCGAACAGGAGCCGGGAATCTCACATTCATTAATATCTGGAAAAAGCAAATTATAGGAATAGAACGAAACGAAACTGTAGAAACATGAGGAAACACGAAACGATTGACACTAAAAGTAATGAGTGACTGCAACAGATTTTGATCCCCAATATTTAATTTTACACAAAAAATCTGTTGGAAAATTAGTAGATATGTAAACAAATTACAGAAAAGTTACAAAAAATAGAGGGAAAGATATTTTTTTACATAATAATGCATACAAGTTGTTATAGAAAGATCACAAATCTTTAAAGAGAATCTATTGCTTATGATAAAAAATTCGTTCTCTCTTGCACAAAATAACGTATCTTATCTGTATTGTTAAGGTATTTCCACGAACATTTAATTTTGTCATGGGAGAACCATCGCACAAATTCGTGTGAAAATTTTACAGTCTATTCTTGAAAAAGTAAAAAAAATCAGTGAAACTTTTTGGAAAATTCAGGAAAAGTTTCTTTTCTGAAAACTTGAGTGTCAGTAAAAAATACTAAAAAAGCACAATTGAAATACATCCTTCAAGCGGAAAACAAACAATTAACACAAATATTTCTTTATTTCCGACTTCCTGTCGATGATCTATTTGATATGAAATGAGAAAATTGACGTTTAACATCAACTTGCATCTTTTGCATAAGTTAAGTCACAGAAATTACTTCAGAATTCAAAAACAAGGTTCGTCTTGCATTGAATTTTTGTTATGAAGGTTTTTTATCTCTTCAATAAAAAACGACGGTATCATTCCATTATTTTTAAGAAGTGGACAGAAGAGGCTTTGTTGCCTTTTTAACTCATCAGCTACACATTCCTGATATCAAAAAAAAGATCGCACTATTAACCCCTTATTTTGAATACCTACTTCTGATAGCTTTTCTTTTTCGCATCCAATATTTGAGAAAAAATATTATTTGTGATCTTCAGGTTTGCATAAAATTACATCAACAGATAACATGGGATTGACCTCATACTCTTACTTCGTATCTCTCAGAAAAATTGAAGCAAAAGTGAAACCAAACCATGAATACTCACCAACACAAGTCACATTATCAAGTAGTTTGTAACCAACACGACAGCTGCAATGATAGCCGATGGCTGTGTCTACACAAGTTTGAGAACAACCTCCGTTGTTGACCAGACATTCATTGATTCCACATTTAGATTTGTCCTCATCCTCCCAACCTGGGCAATCAGGCTGTTTGTCACAGACTTTCGACCATGGAATGCATATGTTGCCTCCACAGTCAAATTCTTCACCCTCCTTACATGCAGGTTTCCTCGTACCTGAAAGGAAAAATTAAATTTTCATAAGACAGTTCTGTAGAAATTGACTGGTATCGATGACTTATATTAATTGACAAAGAGAGCTCAACTAAAGCACAGAAAGCACCCAAACAGCACAGTGCAGTAAAAATATTGACATAAAATTGCGATTTCGGGCAGTAAAATTGAAATTTTCTTACCATGGTATTGCAATATTTTTGCATCATTGGGTTAATAAATACCGATTTTAAACTATCAGCAAGATAAGTTCCTTTCTCAGAAGGATAGGCGATCTTTTATGCAATTGAAATATTGCAGTTTATCTTATTGGAATACATTTCAATTAGGGATGCCCCTTCAATTAGTAGATAGGCAACATACACAACACTCCGATGCATCAGCAATGATTTTACAGTGTAATTCTGAATCATTGCAATCTATGCTGCCGTGCTAAGGAAGAACGTCGTATGAACATTCGAGAGTTGCCAAATTTCCTTCAATAAAAAGTTTATTTTTAAGGAAAGTTATGAACGTTTGTCTTTGAAATTTTCAGAGGCTTTAGGTGAGATTGCGAACAAAATGATCTAAAAAATTTGAAGAAAAATATTCATAAGTTAACCAGGAAATGTGTGTTTTATCAAAGGAAATTTGGCAACGCCTGAAGGTTAATACGGCATTTTCCTTAGCATGGTAGTGTGGTAGTTTGGTAGATATAGTGAGTTGCTTTATGGATGTATCAAGAGTGAAATTAAGTTCAAAGAACGAGAATTTGGAAAAGGACGGATCCCAGGGTGTCTAGTAATTAAAAGAAAAAAAGGTAAAAAATTTGATGGTTCCCTGACAGACGGAAAAAATAATTTCCTGACATTTCCCTGACAAAAAGGAAAAATATTCCTAATTTTTCGACACGGTTGAAGCGATAGATGCACGTAAGAATTTTTTCATGGTTCACGAATATAACATAATAAATACAGAAAAACATATGGTGCCTAAACTTATGCGAGATATGTTTGCCTCATTCTCAAAATTTAAAAGACATCAGTAGAAATTGGACCACGTTAAACAGAAATGAACCAAGCCACATCAGTTATTGCCAAATTTAATTGAGCGATTTAATTTTTTACATGAAAATGGTTGGGCGGATTTTCGTACAAATTTCAGTGAATTTTCTCCACGGTACGAGGCAAATTCCTTAAAATTTTCAAAGGAATCCGCACGAACGCTCTCTCATAAAAAATTTGATTGCCCGGTTAAATTTGGCAATGACTGATGTGGCTTGGTTCCTTTCTGTTAAACGCGGTTCAATTCTAGTACCTAGAAATATTGGTAGAAATCTCGGTGAGGGTAAAATTCGTGAAAATTTTTCCGAAAAATTCGGGTTTTTCGATTTCCTTGATGTTTTCCTGACACGAAAATCACTTACAGAGTCGAATTCCCTGAAAGCCGAATTTTGGCGAATTCCCTGACGTTTCCTCTGCTTTCCCTGACACCAAAAAATATTCCCTGATATTTCCGGCTTTCCCGATCGCTAGACACCCTGCAGTCCAATTATTGATTTTCATAGACAAAGCTATAGACGAAGAAGACAAAAGGGATTTGGAGGGTTCCTATTGGAGGAAGCGGGTGGTTATAATGGACAAAGGAGGAAAGGAATGGACTAACTAACGGCAACCTACGAAAGACCCATTAGTTAGTCCATCATTTACACCCTTAGTCTATAGGAACCACCCATTACAACCGATAGGATTGCTATATACTCCCTCCCAAGTAGCAGAGGTTGCAACAACTTGCAACAAAATCGTTTGATTCTTGCAACCAATAGATTGATGTGCAGATTGCCTACTCTCTCCCCCGAAGGAGCTATCATTGTTGGAACTAGTTGCAATCAAGTTGAAACATGTTTCAACTTCAAAGTATTGCTGGTTGCTTATCTTTAGATTTTTAACAACTTCGGTTCAGCACTTTTGCAATCTCAGCAGGTTGCAACTTTGTCTTCCGATCAGATCGCCGAAAATCGGCACTCATCGACCAAAAGTTGACCGAAAGTTGCAACTTCGTTGCAACTAATACCAACATTGTTTCAACTTGTTGCAACTTTCACATTGAAAAACGCTACTTGGGCAATGTCTCCTTTGTCTAAAGATTAGTCTATCAGTTTCTATAATCGGGGCGCTGGATCCAATGTTTCCTGGTTCGTACCGCAGTTGAGTTCGTCGCTGCCGTCGTCGCACTCGAACTTGCCGGAGCACTGGAAGTGTCCGGCGATGCACTGCTTGTTGTGGCACTGGAACTGGTCGGGGCGGCAGGTGGAATTGCGGCAGAGCGTCGGGCTCTCGTCCGAGCCGTCGCCGCAGTCGGCGTCCCCGTCACACACCCACGACTGCTTGATGCACAACAGACCGTCCTCGCAGTTGAACTCGTGGGACGGGCACACGCGCGCCTTCCACCGCTTCCCGCCGCAATCCTGAAACACATCCAAAACAAACGTTAGTCGAGAGAGGTAACAATAGAGGGTATGGATTCGATCGACATGAATCGATCGAAAAATGAAGACGTGAATCGATCGACACCAAGCACCGCCCCCGAGAGGTTGGGTTTCTTGGAGACCAGGTGGGACAGCCCCGGGGAGTTGGGCACCTTGGATGCCACGGGGAGCAGCCCCGGGGGGTTGGGCACCTTGGGTGCCAGGTGGGACAGCCCCCGCGGGGGCGCGGGGTTGGGATTCTTGGATGTCAGGTGGGGCAGTCCCTGGGGGTTGGGCTTCTTGGATGCCAAGGAGGGCAGCCCCCGGGGGGTTGGGCTTCTTGGATGCCAGGTAGGGCAACCCCTGGGGGTTGGGCTTCTTAGATGCCAGGTGGGGCAGCCCCGGGGGGGTTGGGCACCTTGGATGCCAAGGGATGCAGCCCCTGGTGGTTAGACTTCTTGGATGTCAGGGAGGGCAGCCCCCGAGGGGTTGGGCTTCTTTAATGGCAGGTGGGGCAGCCCCTGAGGGGTTGGGCTCCTTGGATGAAAGGTGGGGTAGCCCTCGGGGGGCTGGGCTGCTTGTATGTCAGGCGGGGTAGCCCCGGAGATTTTGTTCCCTAAAAAACACGTATTAAATTGCTTAAATTCGTACCCTGTTGCCTGGGGCAATGATTTGCCTTCAATTAGCCGGGTATACAAAATGTCTATCGTGACGCACGAATAGTGGTATCAGAATTTTGCATTAAGATTACATAGTGGGTTGAAGGCGCTCTTCTGTATCGTAGCTGAGTGGCTCTGTATAACGATGTTGACCAGAAATGTTCGAATTTTGGAGTCATCAATCGAGCCGGAATTTTGAAAAATGCCCCAAGAACATTATTGCACGTTCCAAGAGTTTTTTTCTTTTAGTTTTTTTTCCAAAAAAGAGAGTCCAAACGCTCGGTTTAGATTGTGGTTTTTAAGTCTTTGGACCTTCCTTTGGTCATCGAATTCTCATGCAAGACTGAGAGAGTCGCCATTTACAAGATCGTAACTTACTCAAACGCTGTTAAGAATTCAATAAGTTTTGCACGGATAAAATGAGCTTTCCAAGGTCCAAATAAATTCCTTTCTGGACGGCTGAACTGGCCGGGTGTCTACTAAAACAGGCTGGCCAAAAACCAGTAATTTTTCAGTACATTCCCGAGAAATTCAGTACCTCCTCAGCGGGAAAATTCAGTACTTTTTCAGTACCTCCAATGGACGAAATTCGAAAAATTTAAAATATTGAATTTGTCGCTCAAATTACGACAAAAATGGAAAAAAATCCGGACTTTCTATCCGGAGTTTCCGCACTTTTTCAGTGCTTCTGGACCGCCCTTAAAAAAGCAGTATTATTTCCGAACTTTGCGAAAATTCTGGAATTACAGACACCCTAAATTAATTGTGTTAATTGGGTTTCATTAATTGTGTATTTTTAGCCTTGTTTCCCGTTTTTCAGCCTTGTTTTTCCACTGTTATCATTGTCTTGGGCTGCTCTTAAAAATTTGTATCCAGACACCCTAAACTGACCTTTTCATCGGAGCCGTCGCTGCAATCGCTATCGTCGTCGCACCTCCACTTGGCGGAGATGCAGTAGCCGTCGGAGCAGCGGAACTCGGTGACGGGGTCGCAGGTGTTGACCGGGCAGTTGGCCTCGTCCGATTTGTCCCCGCAGTCGTCGTCGTGGTCGCAGACCCACTGCTTGTGGATGCACCGTCCGTTTCCGCACGTGAACTGGTCCGAGCGACACGTCTCGTCTGAAACAACACAAATCCCAACGAAATCAATCGATGGGTATTTACGGTGACCCTACAGCAGAGGGCTGATTGTCGAAATATTGATGAACAAAGCGATAGACAAAGAAGGCATAGGGAGTAGGTTGCCGTGCTCAGTAAAAACACCGTATGAACCTTCTAGCGTTGACAAATTTCATTTGATAAAACACGAATTTCCTGGTAAATTTATGAATATTTTCCTTTAGATTTTTCAGATAATTTTGTACGCAATTTCACCTAAAGTTCCTGAAAATTTCAAGGAAAAATATTCATAACTTTCCTCAAAAATAAACAATTTATCGAAAGAAATGCGGCAACTCCCGAATGTATATATACGGCGTTCTTCCGTGTTTCCGAGCGATAAATTTCAATGAAAAAAAACATTCCTTTTTTTGTGAAATTGCTATTAATCACCCGAAGGACTCTTAGAAATCGGTTGGATGATTGAAACTAGACCGATTTTCTTTCAATTATATAAAAAGGGTATTTTTTATTTTCATGTTAGGCAAGTGTTGGGTAAGACAGCCATAGGTAAGTGCTATCTTTTGCATAATTTCGTGGTTGCGTTTTGGACACACAACAAACACGTTTTCAGGCTAAAAATCCAGGTGGCATTTTACTTGAAAGCACTGTTTTCATTGGCTCTCTGGAGGAATAATGTTTCCTATGTCGTCAGAAACTCCGTCATTTTTGGGCTAAAGGATTTCTCGCGTGTCTCGTCTCCATATAAATAAGACGAATTTTGCTGTTTCAGCTATTTCAGTGATTTCCTCAGAAAGACATTAGACGAATTGCGAGGTGCAAAATTCTCCAAATTTCAGTATCGATCGACTTTGATTCATTTGCATCATCATAAGACATACAGCAAGCGCGAATTTGAATTGGAGAGACCACAATTCATGTCTACGACAGAATTATTCTTGTATCGCTCTGATAAGAAGAGACAAAAAAAGGTGTGGAATTGTACCGAAATAAACTAATTATGATTCGAGGAGGTAAATAATTATGTATTGGATTTGATAAGGTGTCTGTAGACAAGTGCAATCGTTTAGGTCAAAAGGGCTGGTCGAGACAAACCAGACGCCTAGTAATCTACTCAAAAGTGCCAACTAATCAATATCACCTTTGCATGGATGGACGTTTGGCAAAATACCTAAGTGTCTAATAGACAATAATACAACATTTAGATCAATAATACACAAAAACAGCCTGGATATAATTCAACAAAAAACACAAGAAAATGGGCAACGAGGACAAAAGGGAACACAAAAGGAGGGCGAAAAATGGGTAAAACAGACACAAAGCGTGGGACCAGGAAACAAAAAATATATAAAATTATGAAAATCACCCCTTCAGACCCCTCAGACCTCTCGGAACCTTCGACCACCATTCATGATCAACATTTAAAATAAGTTATTTTACTGTATACCTTCGTTTAAATTCAGAATTCACCGATGTCACGGGACAAAAATTACAATGATTATAAGATGTGTTTTATTAATTAAACATTTAGATGAAAAATGAAAATTTAAATTCACACGTTTTTATTCAAGAGACTTTGAGGGAAAATAAATGACAAATGCCCCCGCAGCTTTTGCATCGAGTGAAAAACGCAGAGAAGAGGCTTTAACTGCTTGAGATTTAAAGGTGCAATAAATTTCGCGCATTTAGACATCCATCATAACACCGAATGGTCCGACCCGCAAAAACCCCTTTATCGCGGATGATACAGCACGTGAAGCAATTCCCTCTTTTGGCGGCATCCGTGGTAAAAACCACTTACACACCGTTGCCAAAGCGTGCGGTTGAAAAAATTCATATCAAGCGTTAAAAACTGGATTTACATTATGTATTACGAAGTTGAGTTGGAGCAAAAGGAAGAGATTGTTCTCATGAAAATGGTTGACAAGTCACAATGAGAAGGTTCTGGTAGTGAGAGGGTCTAAAATTCGTTCCTGATTCATTACTTTACGTGAAAAATTGTGAAATTTGTGAGATATCCGCTTCAAATAGTATGCAACGCAGAGACAAAATTTTGTCACCGTTAAAGTAGTCACTCTGCAGGCTGGTTATTGAAATTCCATTCAGGGGTGCAAAATTTCTACGATTTATCAATCCTAATATTGCAGGCCCGAGGTGTAGACTGGTTGGAAATTGAGTACACCGCGGTAGGTCCGGCACCGAGAAATTACGAATTTCCAGCGATTAAAGCACGCGCCGCAGTGAACGCGCGATGCGAGAAGTATTCGTGCAGTCTTGTAGGAGCTAATATGCGTTACGCGCAATGCGTGAAGTATTCCTACAGTCTCGTAGGCGCTAATATGCCTTTAGCGCCGACCGCACTGTGTTTTGGCGCGATTAGTATAACTCGCCGAGTCAGCGATTTTTAACTTGTTACTATCATTAAGTTTTTCACTTTCTAAATAGAATACTATAATTTAAAATGATATAAAAAACTACACAAAATCTGAGTAATTCTCTTCTGTTTATTCACAAGTGGTTTTAACACAAGTTTTTTAACACAATGTCCGTACCTCTTGTGCGAAACTGCATTAATTTATCAGGCGTTGCGGGCTTCTTTTTGAAATTGATAGACAAAGCAATAACAAGAGGAGACAAAGGAGAAACCAAGATACCCTATTGGTAGAGAAAGGTGGTACTTATGGACTAAGGAGCAAGACAATGGACTAATTATAGAGTATCTCGTGGGTTGATGTTGGTCAGTCTATTACCTACCTCCTTTTTAACCACCCGTTTTAAATGATAGGAAGGCTTCATTTTCTCCAGTAGCGTGGCGTGAATTGCGATATATCGATTGTTATGCCGTTTAAGCCTATAGTAAAGAATCGATTATTAAGGTGTTCGCTGCGAACACCCTGTTTATCGATCCTTTTCCATAGGTTTAAATGGCAAAACAATCGATACATCGCAAAGCACGCCACGCCACTGATTTTCTCCATGTTTTCTTCTTCTATCGCTTTGTCTATCAATTTCAATGATCAGCCAGCAAGTAACCGAAGCTTTTTGTCATAGGGTAAACATTTTGGTTAGCTGACCTAAAGTTCGGTTTCTGTAAACTTCAGTTATTTGAAAGGAACATTTTAAGTGCTCAATATGGACCCGACTATTTGCCTCCATGTTGCTTGATAAACGATACGAACATACAACGTACACTGAAAAAAAATTCTTGGCGGTTTTACCAAGGTCCGTTGGTACCTTTACCATCTCACTTTTTTTTACCAATTATTGGTAATTTTACCGAGAACGACTGGTAAGCTTACCTAAAAACCAGTATTTTTACTGTTTTTTTCAGGTAAGAATACCACTTTTATTGGTAATCAATTCCCGGTAACTTTGCCATTTTATCTCGGTAATTCTACCACAGTCGATAAAAAATATTGGCGTTTTTACCAAGGTCCAGTAAAATTACCGAGAAAGTTCAATAATTTTACCGAGCTTTCTCGGTAAAATTACCAATTCCATAAATGGTAATTTTACCAAGAAAAAACTGGGATCAAATAGAACCCTGAATTCTTGGTAATTTTACCCTTTTCTTAGTAAATACACCGAGATTTTTTTTCAGTGTACAATGAAATTCCAAAAAATTAACAAATCACGTTACAAGAATATCTCAGATCCGGCAACACTACTGCTAACGCTCGACCCAACTCGACTATCACAAAGCTCATCCGGGTACAAATAGGAGCATCTTTATTAGGTAAAGTAGCTGTCAGCGTTAAAAACGACTGCTTATTCTATAATTCACCGCGGTTATTCACGGGCTAAGTTCCCACTCAACCATTTATTATATCACTTTACCTGGGCGCCTTCCGGCCAAACCCGTCGCCCCGAAAAAAAAACCTTACATTGAACACGGTTGCAATATCCGAAGCAAAATCGCTTAAAATAACTTCTGCAAACACGATAAAAAGCTTCGTGTTGCGAAGAATAAAATTTATATTGATAATTTTTCTCCTTGGAATCCTATCGGACTATCGGAATCCTTTTAGGACAATAGGAATTCCAATTGCCTTAAATACAACTCCGAAGAAAAATTTATTGGCAGGAGGACCTTTTAATAAGCGCTCTAGAAAAAGCTTCACGCACATGAAAACGAGGACAGGGTTTCCATAACTAACAAACAGTTAGATTCGGAAGAAAAATTTAAAAAATGAGGCCCGATTACGTCTCTCCTATCTTTAGTAGTGTCGCTCACGTGGGCTTTGAAGCACCACTATAAATAAAACAAACGGAAACGAACACAATATGGAAATGGAGTAAGGGAAAGGACGCGCGTTAACGACGGCGCAGAGATACAACTATTCGTGCTTGATGGATGTCCGTGTTGCTTCTGCAAAATTGAAGGCGCTATGGCGCGGCCAGCGTGACGACTCGCAATTCTCCACTTCGTGCTGCCTATAAGGTGTCGCTCAGAGTCAGGGGAAAAGTTAAAAAAGGAAGGTTTGAATACGCCTCCCCTATTTTCGGCTGTACTTTTAAGTAATTTTACATAAAGGCGAAAAAACTAGAAAATTTGAAAACTTTTTTTCAACTATGAGCGCAAAGTTTGAAATCGACAATTGGCCAAAGTGACTATCTTATATTCTTAAAGAACAGACTCATAGGACTAATTGCCCTCTGATCGCATCGTTATGAAACAGCGCGTTGAATACCAAAAAATCCACATTTTTCTCCAAAATCAGCCTTTGAGCCCATGTTTAAGCCAGCATTAAACCCAAAAAGAGACCGAAAATGGCCAAATCATGATACATTTCACAAAACATAGGTCTTCCGTAATCTTGCGGAGCATCTTTGCAACGTCATTCGTACTATTTTTGGAACGATCGTTCAAAGCATACTATCAACAATATCCCAAATAAATCATCTATATCTTGTTTTTAGTGTATTTAATCTTTAAAATTCTCCAGAGTGTTTTTTTTGGGCGAACATATTTTTAGAGGAAAAATAGGTAGATTAGTAAA